TGAGTATGTTCTTCTGCTGTTCCTTTTAAACTCTCATTGCCCCAGGATGCTCTCTACCAGCTCAGCTCAGCTTGTTTGTTTTTCTGGGGAGGTGACATTTCTAAACAAAGCTCTGGACTGCAGCCATGGCCATTTATACATCCTAAGACTCCTATGGCGCCTCTGTGGGGTCTAGAGACATTCTTGGAAGTAAAGATAATAGTACAGGCTATCATGTTGCTTTGCAGCATGGCAATTTCACCACTATTTAATTTTAAACAATTAAAATATTGTATCTTTAGTTACTGTACCTTTTACCTTAAATACTTTCTATTAAGAGGATCTATGGGTACATATAGGTACCCAAAGCATTAGACTGGCTTTCTCCTTGAAAATTCTAGGACAACAAACTAAAGTAGATATAGAAAGTGTTTAAAAGGAATGAATATATATTTAATATGTAAACAAAGTAGTTTTCTTGCATGCAATTTCTTAATGAGAACAAGAGAACAAAAAAATAATAGGCCTTTATTCAGAAGATTATTTAATCCCACTTTCCCTGTACTTTAATGATTGAAGCACAATTCTTATTCCCCAAATATCTCTTCCTTCCAACAGAGTCATTTTTCCCATTGGCTATATCTGCATTTCCTGTTAAACCATGGTTTGTATAATGGTGATCACTGTTTCATACGAGGATCCCACTTATTCTTAAAGTGGCATGGGGGAGGCAATCCAAGAAGTGGGTAAGGCTTAAGAAAGGACAGGGCCAAAACTAAATTTATTTTAATTTAAATATTAATTAACATTAATTAAGTCATTGTAGCATATTTTCTATTTTTTTCCTTTCTTCCAAATTAAAAATTATGGTTTCTGATTTTAATTAACCACAATCTCTACATAATTCAGATCTGGAAATTATGGTGGGTTTCACATGGAAACAAACTTCAAAATCCATGATTTCAAGTGGTTTCTTTGATACTGGCCCACAGTTACTGTTTACCACAGCTGATTGTGCCAACCTGGCATAAGTTATCTTTAGCTAAGACTAAAAGATTTGTCAAATGCACAGAAGGAACAGAAGGGCAAACATCAGCTCAAGTTGCATTGGGGGTTGTTTCTATTCATTCACAGCTTATGCTAAACCATTTAGCATCATTTGCAAATAAAAAGTTTAGATCAGGGTTCCTCAACCTCAGTAACTTTAAGATGCTGGCTAGGGAATTCTGGGAGTTGAAGTCCATCCATCTTAAAGTTGCTGAGGTTGAGGAACCCTGGTTTAGATAGTCAATGTGCTTTCCAAATCAATTATGTACTGTAAGTGGGGAGAGAAGGTGGGGATATGTAAGCCTGCAATTAAAGTACATGTTGCCTCTGGGTTGTCAATATCATCAATATTTATAGTGGGGTCCTACTTACCCTAGACAGCATTGCCGACTTTCTTTAAATAACATAACCATTTTTCTGATGGATCCAGCTATTCTGAAGCTGATCTGGTAGTTTTTCAGAGACACTTGCTTCTGGAAAACTGCCAGACCACTCCTAGAACAACAAAATCAGCATGGTCTGGAAGAACGAAATGTTCCAGAATTACTCAGAATCGTCCAGCTCTAAAATGAATCTTTTTGCACATATGTACTGATTACCAATCCCTGAATACATTAATCCTCTGAACAGATAGTCCATCACTATCACAAGCCACAAAACTAGTAAAAAAATCAAGGCCTAGGATATGTTTATGCTGCATAAAATACCTGTACTTCCTTGAACTCAGTTAAGGAGATATTATTGTCATTGGGATTTGATTATACACAGTGAGTCAGACCTCAAATTACATGTTTAGGTTACATGAAATATAGAGCATTACAACTCCTTGACATCATCTGTATGTCACTTCAAGGCATTTACTCTTGTCCTATTGAACCATGTATTCGTTAATTACTCCTTTCTTTGGCTGATCTAGCATTCAAATATGTATTATTAATATATTCAATAATATTACTTTAATATATTAAAATACAATGTACTGACTTTTCATAAATCTGCCAAATCCATTTATTATATCAGAGATTGGAGATTTTGTTCATACTCAAATTATTGGGAGCCAGACAGCTCATATAGGTAGTCCTTGACCTACGACCATTCGTTCAGAGACTGTTCAAAGTTACAATGGCACTGAACGAATGGTGATTATGACTGGTCGTTAGAGTTCTGGTCGTCCCAGCACCCCTGCAGTCATGTGATTGCTATCTTGGTGCTTGGCAACCGGTTCATACTTAAGAGTGATTGCAGCACCCCATGATCACACGTCACCAATTGCTTTTTTTTAATAGTAATTTTATTAAAGATTATAATTACAACAGTAAAAACTAATATAAACTAAAAAAGTAGAATAAAAAGAAAGAAGGTGCAGAAAAGAAAGAAAAAATAGAAAGAAATAGAAAAGAAAGAAAAATAAGAATATAGTAAAGAAAAAGAAAATAAATATATAAATGATCACCATTTGCAACCTTCCCTGCTGGCTTCCCTAGAAAGTCAATGGGGAAACTAGCAGGGAAGGTCGCAAATGACTGGGGTAAGTGTCCCCCACCCATACACCCTTCCCCAGTCCCTCTACGCTCGCACTGTGCCAGCCAATTGCGCACTCCCATGCACCCTCCCTGACCTTCCCTCACACCTGTGCACCCTCCCCAACCTGCACCATGCCTCTCACACCCTTGCACACCCTCCCTGACCCGCGCCTCTTATATACCCCCTCACACCCTTACGCATCCTTCCTGATCCACACTTCTAGTGTACCCCACACACCCTTGCATACCCTCCCTGATGCACGCCTCTCACGTACACCCTCACACCCTTCCCAAGCCAGGGCTTTTGCGCACTCTTCCCGATCCATGCCACACCTCTCGTGCACCTCCATGCACCCTCCCCAACCCACCAGCAGCCACTTACCTGCCTGCCAGCCTGGGACTTGCAACTTCCTGACAGCTTCCTCATTGACTGTGGTTGTGGGAATGTGGCAGGAAGTTGCCTCACCTAACTGTGGGATTCAGTTAATTATGGCAACCAGGACTGCAAGGACTGCCGTCACTAAGCAATGCAGTTGCACTTTACGACCGCATTGCTTAGTGACAGAAATTCTGGTCCCAATTGCCGTCATAAGTTGAGGGCTACCTGTATGTCTATTTGCAGCAATGTCATTGACAAACTATGACTATTCTTTTATAGTAATTTTATTAAAGATTATAATTACAACAGTAAAAACTAATACAAACTAAAAAAACATGCAAAAAAGGAAGAAAAAATAGAAATAGAAATAGAAATAGAAATAGAAATGAAAAGTAAGAATATAGTAAAGAAAAAGAAAAGAAATATATAAAGTAATAACTTCCTGGCTTCATCACAAGTATAAACAATTTTAGTAACCTATCACCTCTTCTTAAAATATAACAGATGACCTCTTTTTCCCATATCCCATCTCTTATCTATAAACAAATCCACAATGCATCACCATAGTAGAAGGGTTCTAAAGTACTCTCTCCTATACACACGACATCCTGTACAGTGTATGGTGAATTTCAGTTAAATGCTTTATTGAAGCCAACTTAAATTATACATGTTTTTCTATAACTTTAGGTACCCTTTTGATTTCTGTTCAATTAACTATATGACTTAAGGAATGGAAAAGCAAACCCCAACCTAACATTTTATTTCCTGAAGTGATTTACAGCAGGATTTCAGTATCATTAGTTTTCATGAAAGATCACAATTGCTTTACCAAACCAATTGTATGTTAGGAATTATAATAATTTATCACAAATAATTGTTATGAAACCAGTCACCTCTCCCATACATATCTGTTAATGTACAGTTTGTGTGGTTTGTTATAGAAATTTTTAATGGATTATCCAGGCAACGTCACCATCCTTTAGTCAACAATTTTACTTCCATTCTGTTTCTCTTCTAACCCCTAGCCACTTTAACAAGGAAAACCTATTTAGACAGAATGCCTTGAAATGGAAATATAATAGCTTAATGTGTGGATATTTCATAGCATGTTGTTCTCACAGATTTGAATTAAGAAGGTTTGATGTCAGACATAGTTTTCATCCTTGTTCCTCTTACATCTCCCCCATGTATGCAAGTGCACTGTACACTAATGCAAGGATGTTTATTATATTTGTGCACTGGAATGACAAGCTACCAAATATCATTTTGTAATCGGCTCCATCATGCCTCACTGTTACCAACAAACAAGCTTCATGTGATCTACCAGCAAAAACAAACATTTTGATTTTTAAAAATTCTGCATGACAGCCTCATTTTAAATAAAGTGATAGCAAAGCTTCTAGCAGGTAACAACAAATAATTGCTTGTAGGAAAAATTCTTACTCTCCCACAATTATCTTACTGGTTCTTGGTATAAAAAGCTAGCTCACGATGATGATGATGATGATAATTTAATAAGAGCTTCCTTTATTGGTCAAAAACCTTGGAACAACAGTATTCTGATATTCATGTAGGTAGACAATGTTACAAAATAAATGAATATGGATATAGAAGGCAAGAAGGCAGCAACCAGTATTAACTATAGAATTTGGCTGTTAAAAAATTAAAGCTATATGTACAGAATCCAGAATACATGGTCCCCATTATCACAGGAGCTGAAGTTGGCAATCAGGAAGTCTGTACAGTGTGTCTCAGATATGATGAGCTTCTTTGTTATATGGTGGATGGGATGTTACAGTTTCACAAACTACAAAAAATGAAAAAAAATCACAAAGTAGATTATTTCTGTCTAGATACAGTAAGAGAGACTAAGCCTGCATACTAAGGTTGCAGTTCTATACCACTTACCTAGTACAGGTAGATGTATTTCAAACTGCACTGAAGTCATTCTAAATAGGATGACAAAGGTTTTACAACACAAGGAAAATATTTTGAAAATACTTATTTCAGCTGTAAATTGTAAGGAAGAATAAGCATTTGTCTTATTTGTGTTTTGTCCCCATCATTTACAGAGTTGCCACTCCTTTTGGTGGTTTTGAAAGAGCATCAAAACTTATCAAGTACAAAGTCCCAGATTTTAATTTTCTGCTGCTAAATGATCCACGATTTATGCTCCTTGCCAATCCACTTTCTACCAGGAGGTCATTCAACAGGACTCCTAAAGGTTGGACCAGTGATAATATTCCCATAACGATAACTATACAGGCTACAGAAGTCAATGGTGTTCCAGAAACAGATGATTTGTGAAAAGTACATCACACATCAGATTCAGCCTGGTAGTGTTTTATTCTTTTAATATGCTCTACATCTGTTCCAACATCCAATTTTATGTTGAAATGCAATATGATCTGATGATGTAGTTGTATTCTGGGAGTAACTAATATTGTTATTCAGATCTAATACCAATAAAACAATGTGGCTAATATGTTTAAAAAAAACCCCTACATTTGACTCATTCATCCTTTACATTTTACATATTAAATATAGTCTGGATTGAGTTCACACTGGTCAATTTTTATATTAAGAGGTGAGATGATGATCAAAATTACAATATCCTGGTTACCTATCAATCCTGGTTTGATTAGACTTGCATACAGAAATATAGCAGCAAAAGTTTAGGCACTCTTAGTTAAACTATACATTTCAATGAACCCATAATTGACCCAACCTGGTGTACATGGTTGTACCTGGTGTACCTGGGTGTACATGGTATACAATTAAACATGACACCATTTTGTGAATCTGAATGCATGCTTACTATTTATGTGCAGATGTGAACTGACCAAAGTAAGGAGACAGTGTCTATACTTTTATATGTAAGTATACTACCAGGAACCTGAAAAAAATCCTCTCTGGAAACAATAAAATGTTTGCATGTTGTATTTTCTAGGACAGCATAAGGAATGTGCAATTTAACATAAGCTTTATTAAACTGATGTTAAGTAGTTCTGATAATGTTATGCATCTAATTTCAGTTCTGAAAGTGTACATAAGGCACAATGTCATGTATTTTTTAAAACGAAATGCTTTCAAGTGTTACGGTCACATGTTGCATAACTACCTATGAATCTATGCATAGAACTTTATTTGCAGTTGTCCAAGGTGAGGATCCATTATGTCTTCCATGGCTGCACAGTTACACAAGAAATATCCATGTAGCCACATGAATGTATCAAATGTAAGATAGCAGTAATTAAGGACATTTTTCACAGCCAGCTTTGCTCTGGTTAATGCACATTCATTTATCCACAAGAATCAATCACTGAGGATTTGATGTGATGGAGATAACGTATTATGTTGCATATATTGTTTCATCAAATGTATTTCTGACATGAGCTCTCACTGTTTCACTGATTCATAAACTGCTTATAAACTGCCCTTTCCCTGCAAACATGCCCTGGGAACCCCTTTTTAATGTCATGTCTCTAGGACAGCACCTTCATCTCATCCACAGCCCATGAAACAAGCTTGAATTCTCCTTAGCTGTACTGGTGTTAAAATATTGTTTTCTCCCTTATTCTGATACTGTCAAAGGCCTCAACCTGTTAACTTTGTCCTGTTAACTTTGTCATCCATTATCCTGCAGTGACTTGCAACAGGAGTAAGATAGAGGTCAACAACCTGAACACAGAATGTCATGCTGCTTTAGTTTTCTCCCAAATGACGGATGGGTGGATAGTACTCAACAGCAGTAGGATGTTGTGTGATGCTCATGTGTAAAACAGAATGTGAAATGAGAACACCTTTGAAAGGGAAAGAATGCAAAACAGATTGCATATATCGTAAGGCCTACTTTTTCACTAAGTTCATTTCAACTGCTGGTACTGGCCATATTTTAATAACTATGCTGCAAGGCATGGGAATCAACATCATAAAGAATTAAACCTAATGTATTTGTGCAAGAACTAAAACTACTTTGATTAGTCCTAAGGAACGCAACAGACTATACTTTAAAAGGTTTTCATTTGGGGAATGAAAGCAAGTCATACACCAGGAAGAGAGGAACAGAGCACTCAAGTTAAGACAACTTACCCAAGGCCTTTGTACTCCATGAGAAGCTGTCATGTGGCTGCCTGCTTTTGGCAAAGCTTGTTATCATCTCGTAACTACACCTGATTGCCAGGGAATCAACAGAGCTGCTCTACTGGTTTCCATCAATTCTTTTGATCCCTTCTCTAGGGAACAAGTCACTCTGTTCCTTGTAGACCAAGCTACACAAGGCCTTTCCTGCTACCTTCCAAATTTGTGTTTGCTTCTTGCTATTATTTCATATAAATAACTTTTCGTCTAACACTTGGCCTGATATTCAGCCCTAAAGAAATATTTCTGACATTTTGAAGATGACTCTTCACATTTTTTTGTCTAATCCACAAACACTGCATTTTTCTGGTTTGTTATACTGTCAGTTTTATGTTATATGTTCACCAGGTTATTATGGCTTTTTCAACATACCACTGTGACTCTAGCAACTGATTTATAGAATAAGCCATAGCTGACTGGGGTGATACAGAACACTAAGCTACAAATCATAGATTACAAATCAATATGACAAAAATGATACATTACACTAAGCTAAAATTAAGTTTAATGTTATTGGTTTAGTGCAATGTATGAATCCAGCTGCTAAGTTACAGGACAGGGTGGGTGGGGAAGGGTGATTTCCAAGCAGCATTTAAATGAGACTCACTTTCTAAAATAATAAAGATACAATTATGTGCATATTTGTTAGACAGCAAATCTAATGCTGTAAGTCCTAGAAAACTTGTCTAAGATTTGGTTATAAAGGATGCACTTAAATATGTTTATCATTTTTGCAAATGATAGATATTATAGAAAATTTTGAATACAGAACTTGACGTTAAATTTAGTAAACTTGTTTTATGAGAAAAAGGCAGATCTGTTGATGAAGCCAAATGATGAAACAGCTAAGACTTTTAAAAATGTGATAAAATGACTAAAATACCATCTTTAAAATTATTTTAAATCTTGCATACCTAATGTAACTTATATAGATAATCCAAATACTTACCTGAGAATGAAACCTATTGATCTCAATGAGTGTATTGCTTGAGTAGGAACCTCACTATTAAACTTCACATGTATTTTTTTTCAAACAAAAAGTTCTGAAAATGGAAATACGTGTAATGAAAGGGGACTTTAGTTTAATGAAAACTAGAGTCTCCTATATGTCTGCAAAACAAAATTGGTGACATGCTTTCTTTTAACAAAATAATATCTTTTCTGCATAATGATAGCTAGTAATACTTTCCAAAGCATCTCAGTACAATCTTCAATAGTTGGATAAAGAGGGTAGCTTCATTATTTTGCAGTCTCTACATTCTTCAATAAGATTACCTGCAGTGTTGTACACTGGGTAAATTTTCCACTCTATTATTTATAATTTCAATAACCGCATGCACATTGTGCTTATGTCCCAGTTATTTCTGTATAACTATTTCTTCTAATCATCCTTGGTGTTTGGTTACGAAAATAAATTAAGATTTTTCCCATTCTGTACACATGCTTATTTCATTCAAATTTGCTAAAACTAAACTCAGATATTGAAACAGGAAGAAAAAAAACCCTGAGTATCCCTCCAAAATAAGAGGTATTCCAAACGGATGACATAGATACTTCCAGTCTTTTCTTTGTCAAAAAATGCTTTTAAAATCTTAAATGTTATAGAAACAGAAAGTTAATCTGATTGAATGGGAGCCCCTCTTTGTAGAAGATATTTTGGGACTCATCCATAAGATAACAGTGATCAACAGAATCTCCATTGTGACACACTTATTTTAAGTAAGAATTTTGGGTTGCTTCTTCTACATTAGACAACTGACTGAAATTGCCATGATTTGTTCATTCACTATAATGCAATATAAAATACAATACAAATACATATACACTATTCTTCTGTCTTTTTCAACACAGAGGGTATATAGTGAAAAGTAACTAACACAATTCAGTACTCACCTATTATAATTTGTAGTGGTTATCATTTATGACCCAATGTAATACAGTTTAAAATGTTTTTAGTATGATATATATACAGAGAGAGAATGCTATAGAACTGTAACACAATGCTATGTAATTTTTCATATGACTTAAAAATTGCTTTCTGATTGCCATTCATCTTGTTGCTAAAATCTTTGCTATAGGATTATGTAGTCTAGAGCAGTATATCATCATACAATAATTTATAGCATAATGGTATTAAATTACTTTTCCTGTTTCCTGTTTAAATAAAATTATAGCTGGAAAAATCATTGTTGTTCTAATTTTAAAAGTATTTAAAAGTCCATTGTTGCCAACTGTAAAGGTTATGCCAAACATGTGCCAAACTGAAATTGGTCTCACTCACATAAGTGCATAACTACTGATGTTAATGAAACAGAGCAAGGTGAACATAAAGAAAGAGTAATATTCCCAATAAAGAAGAAAATCAAACACACTTCTACTTAAAGTTTGCAGCAAAATAAATAAATAAACAATTATTTTATTATAGTTGTTAAGTTGCCACTGAACTATAAACTTTAAAGTTCAATATGTGAAAATACTAAATATTTTCCTCATAATACAATTTTAAAGTTTACAGTTATTAATGTATTTACAGATATTAAATACATAAGGAGTAATCACAGTAACTATTGTGATTGTGTTTACATTTGATCTAAACATAGTCATAGCATATGCCC